TGTCAGCTTGTGTCAGCTTTGACCAGAGGAAAAACATTCAGGGGACACACTCCAAATCAGACAGGTCAATACCGTGCTGTACAGAACCAAATTAGTCTTGAACTTGGGGTAGCCAAACAATGCCTCCAAAAGCCTAAATCTCATTTTATGCCAAGCACCATGTGAATTTTTCTTCCTCTGTATGACTGAAAAGATAGTTCAGGTGACTAATCCCAAGCCTCCCTGTTACCTCTAAAACGAGGCACCTAGATTTCTTTCTGTTGGCTATGTGTTTCCTGGTATGTTACCAAGACATTGGAAAGCTTTTCTGTTCCTATAATTTGGTAAACTGCCGGGAATATATCAGCAGCCCCAACCACCTTTAGACCAAAAACATCACCTTGTTTATCTCAGAGCATCCCCAAGAACTACTGAAATTCTGGACAGCCTGTGTACGGCATGGGGGATACAGGGGTGCATGCCATGTTGAATTACCAACCAGCCCAGAGTTCATGTGGTTGGATCCCAGGTGAAGATGGAGAAGAAAATACAAGAAGATATTCAACAAAGCAAGCCACCAGTGGAAGTTTCAGAAGGCAAAATTTGAGGGATTGGGTTGAAAAGATGGGGCATTATAGCACAAGAAAAGACTCATTGATGTACGAGTTTGATTTTCTTTTAGAAGATGATCTATCAGTTGTCTTATTTTACAGGCGATGAAGGAGACACTCAAACACCTGAGCGGCTTTCTCAAGGCTAACGAAGTATGGCGATCAACCAGGACTAGCATAAGCACTTCTGATTGCTAATTCTACTATTCCAGTGAATATCATCCAGGAAGGGCCAACCCACTGAAGTACTTACTGTCACTCTTCAGCAGAGATCAGCAGACCTATGAAGCAGCTGGAATCTGATGCCACACGCGGGAGCCTGAGAAAACCTGCAGATGTCCTCACTTCACCCCTTGGCAGGAGGTTCTGTGCTCACAATTCCTGAAAACAAAGGTCAAGTGTGTTAGGGTTGCAGGGGTGGGAATGCATGGTGTTCCAAATCCACACATCAGTTTCCAAGACCCAGGCTCCCTTTTGTCATTATTGCCAGAGAGATAAAAAGAATACTTGGGAGGGCAGAATATTTTTAGACTACAGGGCAAGGTTATCTGGCTCTGGCTGAGATAAATGTGAAGGGTCAGAACCTTGCCAGTTCTCACCGCAGTAAGTCAAGTTGATCACATGTGAGGAAGATGGAATTTTTATAGAAGCTGTCGACATTTAAAAGCACATAGTCACGTGCAGCGATAAGTCAAGCCTCCCTTGTTTTTAATGGACTTGCCTCCCAGCCTCACTTCCCCAGCTGATGATAGCCTTATCTCTTAGTGCTTAGTTAACACTCCGGCTAGATCTCCCCCTAGTCAGGCCGACCAAGGGGAAGTCTGCCTGTGTTCCCTTTGTTTACCATCTCTGGCTAAGCTGATTGTAGGTTAGTGAAAATGTCCCTGCATGGGGTAATCATGACCACAGGGAAGTTAATGATGTTGGCCATGATGATGATGATGATGCTGATGATGATGATGATGCTGCGGCTGCTGCTGCTGCTGATGATGATGATGCTGATGCCAGCATATGAAGTGGCAGTGGACAGCTTTCTCTACTTACTGACCGGTGCCAAACTAGTAAAGTAAATAGGCTGAGATAAGATATAAATGAAGGAACTTGAGTCAATAAGTGACTGTTTACTTCATATCATGAATAAATATGGTGGCCTTATGACCAAAAAAACTTTTCATTTTTTTTCTGTTTGATTTCTACTTGGTTGGCTTTATGATTTGCTTATTTTGTCAGGTTGATCAGGTGCAATTAGCATGTCTTTCTAACAAAGATTAATAACTCTTCGGGTCAACAAAGGGCAATCAGCTGTGGGGTATATTATGCCAATACAGTGTGAAGGAGACTCATTTATTTGATCTTGTGCTGTTAGTCATATGCATGGTGTCATAGACTCCCATCTACACCATAGCAATGAGGGAGAAAAACCATTTCATCCAAGTGTAAGTAAGAGACTATTAGTTTAAAGCTAATTGTCCTTCTACAATGCTTCCAAAAGGAGCTGTTTTGAATTGGCTTTGTGAAGAGAACATCTACTGAGCATTTACCACATGCCAGACACTCTGCCACATGCATTACATGCATGTTTAATTGAACTTTCACATGAAGCCTGTGAGAGAGGCATGGGAAAAGAAACTGCTTCTATCTCATCCAATATCTATACTCCCTTTTGTCCCCAGCAATAGAAACTTAATTTTATTCCTACTGACAGTATTGCCAGCTAACAAGACATTTCTCAGCTTTTTTTTTATAACTAGGAATGGCCATGGGAATAGCTTCTAACAATTCTACGAGTTGTTTGGGCCTTCAGAGATTGTTTCTCAAAGGAAGTTATCATTGCGTTTGCCCTTCCCCCATTTCCCCCTTCTTCATCTGAAAAACAGAGGTAACAGTGCCAGTAGCACCCTAGACCATGCATTAAGACATTAGCAGATAGGAGCCTAAGTTGTTCTGGTGACATCTCTTACACCAAAGGAAACAAAGGTCCATCTGTCTTAAGCTGCTGATCTTTTGTGTGTTCTATTCTATGTAACCCAACCTAACCTAGTATAATAGGTCAATATTATCATCCTCATTGTAGAGATTAGGAAACTGAGGGTAGTCAGTGGCAGAGCAAGAATTTGAAACCAGGTTGGTGGACTATAGAGCCTCTGTTGTCAATACTATATTGCTTATTATGAGCGATTGAAATGGCAGTTTCCTGCCTTTACTCCTCACACTCTTTACTGCAGCCATTTGAGATTTGTTTTAATTCTTCAAACCAAGCCGGCCCTGCTCTGTCTTGTTTTAGACATTCATATATCATTTCCTTTGACTGAAAAGCACTTCTACCTGTATTTTGCCTGGATAATACCTAATTCAGCTTTGAAAATTTGATTTAGATATCACTTCTTCTGGAAAAACGAAAATAAAAAACTCCCTGATTCCTCTAGTCTAGTTGTTTTCCTTCAGTATACCATCATAATTCGTCACTCAGCACTTATCACTCAGCATTAATCCCAATAGATATGAAGGAAGACACTATGTCTTCCTTTATTATCTTGTTCACTATTAGATAGAACAGTGCCTGATGCCCACACAGGGCCAGGAATAGAACTTGTTCCTACTAGCTTGCCTCAATATTCATGGGGCCCAATGAATTGAGCAGAGTACTCAGAAGTATCTTGCCTTAATAGCCAGAAATAATTAGTCAGAAATTAGGTATGGCTCTGGTCTTACTCACAAATCTAGAAAGCAAGATCCAGTTTTAAATTAACTGTGTCCCAGAACAAAGTTCAACAATATTTTTTATATCTGGCATCAAATAAAAGAGTACCAAGCATGCAAAAAAAGTACAAATATGTGCCCCATATTGGAGAGAGAAAATTCAATTAGTTGAAATTGACCCACGTTAGAATTAACAGATAAGAACATTAAAACAGTTTTTATACTTATCCAAAATATAAGTAGGCGTACTTAAGACATAGAAAATATTGTTCAAAATTCAAACTCAGACTCTAGGGATGAAAACTGTAGTGTCTAAGATTTTTAAAAAATACACTGGATGGGATGAATGGAAGATTAGATATTGTAAAAACAACATATTAGTGAAGCTAAAGACAGAAATATTAATTTTCCAAAAGGAAAGACAGGGAGAAAAATAATTTTAATGAATTTTTAAGCAGCCTAATATATATATATATATATATATATATATATATATATATCCAATAACATAGCTTCAAAATATATGAAATAGCCCAGCCAGTGTGGCTCACTGGTTGAGTGTCGACCCATGCACCAAGAGGTCGCTGGTGCAATTCCCAGTCAGGGCACATGCCCAGGTTGTGGGCTCAGTCCCCAGTGGGAGGCATGCAAAAGGAGGCCAGTCAAAGTTCTCTCTCATCAATGTTTCTATCTCTCTCTCTCCCTCTCCCTTCCTCTCTCTCTAAAATCAATAAATAAAATATATATATAGTGTATATATATACACACATATACATATATAGTGTATATATATATACACATATACATATATATAGTATATATATGTATATATGAAACAAAAACTGTTAGAACTGCAAGGAGAAACAGACAAATGCACAATTATATTTGGAGATGTCAGTACCCCTACTTCAAGCATTGGCAAAACAAGTAGACAGAAAAGCAGTGAGGATATAGAACACCTGAGTAATATTATTAGCCAACTTGACCTAATGGACAACTTGACAATTGTAAAACCATCCCCTCAACAACAGCCAAATACTCATTGTTTTCAAGTGCTCATAGAACATTTACAAAGGTGGGAACAGAAATAGAGATATTTAAAAAGACACAAAAAAACTTCTGAGAGTGGTGAATATATTCATTATCTTGACTGTGGTGATCATTTCATGGATGCATACATATGTCAAAAACTGTCCAATTAGACTGGAGGCAGTGGGTCAGCTTAAGCGGCTGCGCCTGGTGGAGGGCGGTGAGGGGCAGTCGCGGGCTGCCAGACCATGCTGAGTGTAGCGGGCCGCAGGCTCCCCTCAGTACTGAGGAGCACAGGCGCGCCGCCCCCCACGGTCACCCACAGGTGCCTGCGGGTGTCGGGGTCGCGGCTGTGCGCAGACAAGAACGAGAGGAACGGGGAACCGCGCCTTCGACCCGGCGCTGCTGGAGTTCTTGGTGTGCCCGCTCTCCAAGAAGCCTCTCAGATACGAAGTATCGACAAATGAATTGATTAATGAAGAGTTGGGAATAGCCTATCCAATTGTTGATGGGATTCCTAATATGATACCACAGGCAGCTAGGATGACACCTCAAAATAAGAAGCAAGAAGATATGGAGCAGCACTAGGTCATAATTACAAACAACAGATACAACTAAATTTTCTTACTACTGTCTACCTTTTAAAAAGTCAAAGTGGCAGGTAGTAAGTGGGAGAGAAGAATGTTTCTATCTCTTCCTACATTGACTGTCCTTATTCCATTGATCTCTTTAGCAGGACTGATCTACTCAGCCTCTGAGGAAGAGAACTTCCCACAGGGCTGCACTAGCTCAGTCAGCTTTTACAGTTTGCTCTTGCCCATTACCATACCAGTGTCCGTGTTCTTCCACCTTTGGACTTGGATGGGTACTAAATTCTTTAGGCATAATTAATGCAACCAGAGCCAAGATAGTATATAATTAATGATAAGTCTTGAGTATCTGTCTCTGAAAGCTCAACTGCATGGAAATACTGGAAACCCACTTCATTTTCAGAAGAGATGCTTTACTTTGCTTAGAACTGTGGGAAGCTTATGCTGCAGAAGCCTTCTTTTATTGTACTTTGGTTCTGTCCTTGTTCTTTGAAGGTTCTAATTGATAACTGCTATATCAGAAGAAACAGTTCAACACAACGTCTTCTTGGAAAGCAACAACCCAACCATCATCTAATGACTTTCTTATCCCTTTCATCTAAAAATTAATATTTTGAAATTTTATGTTTGTTTTAGATTAAAAGTCTTTGGTAAAGTCTCATGTTATACAGATAACTGAAATAATTCCAAAGGAGCTATGTTGGAGTAGTTGTAGAGAAATGCATTTGAATTAGTGTGATATAAAACTAAAATAGCCCTGGCCAGTTTGGCTCAGTGGTTGGAGCGTTGGCCTGCAGACCAGAGAGTCCTGGGTTTGGTTCCCACTAGGGACACGTACCAAAAATAAATAAATAAATAAATAAATAAATAAATAAATAAATAAATAAATAAAATGGAAATTTAATGGACTTTTAAAAATCTGTCCAATTATAAAATTTAAATATATACAGTTTATTGTTCATTATACCTCAATAGTCATTTTTAAATAGATATAGATATATTTAGATATAGATATAGATATAGATGATATAGATATAGATATAGATATAGATATAGATATAGATATAGATATAGATATAGATATAGATATAGATATAGATGTAAGGGTAGAGAAAGACACAGAGCTAGAGATACAGCAGTGCTCTTTTCTCTGAGCAGATCCTGAGGTAACAGTAAGATTAACCTGTGTACCTTTAAATTGTCTAGAGTATAAGAAATTCTCTATCCTAGACTCCATGAGCAATCACTTGAATTATTTTCTCACTAACTCTCTTCCCATATAATTTTGCTACAGAATTTACCTTACAAATCTCCAACAGTGGATTAGGTCTATAACCTCCCATCTTCAATCTAGCTTTATACTCAGGCAGCAGAGCATAGCTGGTGACACCCCCCACCTGTGTGCACAGGTGTCAGATCCCCCATTTCCAATCTTCAGTTGACCCTCAGTCTTCAATACAATACTTTCTTCCATGCACATTCTGCTTTTTTCATCTAGAATGTTCACCTGGTAACTCTTCAGAAGACATATATGATATTACCTCTTCCAAGAAGCTTTCCTTATCCCCCGCCACCCACCACCCCTACCAAAAGCCAGAGGAGTCCTCCAGGCTCTAAGCATACATTATTTTAAATTGTAACACTGTGTACAGTTTCATATATCCATACATATGTATGTATCCCTTCCTTCTTTATGCTCCTTGAGAGCTGGAACAAGGTCTTATAACACAGTACTTGGCACATAGTAGCTGCTCAATAAATGACTGGTAAATTGAATTGAATTTATTATTTTACCACTGCCACACCAAAAGGTTTTGAACAAATCAGGTACTAGAAAGTGGGGCACTAAATATTTATGAATGACTCTACCTCTCAGTATGGCTATACAAATAGGTATATTTTGAAATTTGAATGAATTACTAGGAGTCCTCAGTAAAGAAAACAGCATATATAATAGAGATAAATTCTTGCTCCAATTTAAAATATAGGAATTTCCTTTCTTTCTAAAACTTTACTTAACAAAATTCTAAACTTAAAAAATTCATTAATTCTACACAAAATTTTTCCCATCCTCCTCATCATATACCATCCCAATATTTCTTTTTTTATTTTTTATTGTTGAAAGTATTACAGATGTAGCACTTTTTTCCCATTGACCCCTCCTTCCTGCTCCCATTCCCCTCCTGCCTTCCCAAGCCTAGTGTCCATGTCAATTGGTTGTGCATATATGTATATAAGTTCTTTGGTTTATCTCTTCCCACCCCTCCCACCCTCCCATCCCTCTGAGGTTTGTCAGTCTGTTCCTTATTTCCATGATTCTAGATCTCTTTTGGTAGACAGCTTCTTTTGTTGATTATGTTCCACAAATAAGTTAGATCATATGGTACTTGTCTTTCTCTGACTGGCTTATTTTGCTTAGCATAACACTCTCCAGGTCCCCAAAATGTTCTTTGTTGGTCTTTAGGATAGAAAATAGCCCTACATAAGTCAGTGACAACATTCTGTGGGTGATCTGTTGGCGTCAGCTAGACAAGACTTCACCTTTTGGGGTTATAGTGAGTCCCTGAAGACAATAGGTTCTAATTCAACCCCCATCAACCCTTCACTGTGTTCAAAACCACAGTCCTTGGTATTTTGTGGGTTGAGAGCACTAGCTTTGGGTCTGGTTGCCTGGGTTTGAATTTCAGGTCTACCAGGTAATGGCTGTGTGACCTTGGACAATTTACATAACCTCTCTATACCACAGTTACTTGGTAAGCAGTCAATGGATGTTAGCTACTATAATAGGTACCCAATAAGCATGAATTAAATAAGTGAGTAGCAGTTCCTGAGTAAGAGTAAATAGGTCCTATGTAGTTCAATCTGAGAGATTTAGGTAGGTTTTTCCTACCTAAAAATTATTTCACAACTCCTAAAATTCCACCACTTAAAACAAAACAAAACATTATTTTGAGTTTAACTGAACCTTCTGCCTGAGATCTCTTTTTATTGATATATGTTTTTATTGATTTTTAGGGAGAGGAAGGAAGAGGAATAGAGAGATAGAAACATCAATGAGAGAGAAACATCCATCGATCGGCTGCCTCCTGCACGCCCCCTACTGGGAATCAGGCCCGCAACCCAGGTATATGCCCTGACCAGAAATAGAGTAAGTGACCTCTTGGTGCAGGGGACAACACTCAACCAACTGAACCACATCAGCTGGGCCTGAGGTCTTTTTTATTGATTAGGAGTAACACATCATCATCATCACCATCATCTTAATCATTGTTACTATGTTATGTCAATTAGTCTTCATAAACATCCTATAAACTCAGCACTTTTATTATTTCCATTTTATAGGTAAGAAAAATGGGACACAAGAAGAAACTATGCCCAATGTCACAAGGCAAGACAGCGGTAGAGCTAGGATTTAAACCCAGGTAGTCTGACCCTTATGCCTATACTCGGGGGCACCATGTCTATTAGTCATTCATTCATGACATAAATAGTTATTGTCTTCCCTGTACCAGAATCCATGCCAGAATTCTGAGCACTACGTAGCATGAAGGGTGCATCATGAAAAGCACCAGGAAGAAGCAGAAGAAGGAGGTGGTTGGGAATTATGGGAGTTGAAGGAATAGAGTTCTATCTTTGCTTATCTCACAGGTTTACTACTATTGTTAAAACTTTAAAGTCTCCATACGTTTCGCTTCTGCTTTTGCCATGTGTCCTGCTACTTTCAGTTTAACCTCTGGAGCCTTTTTGCCCAACTAAAGACTGGTTCCATCATTTACAACTTGGACAATTGTCTGTTAACCTCTCTGAGTTTGACCTCTAAAACAGAGATATAAACTCATACAGCCTGCCTCATCAAATCTAACTGTTGGGAGAATTCAATTGAGTCCATGCAGATACAGTGCTAAAACTTTTCTTTTTTTCCCCCCAAACAACTTCTAGAAAATTTAGATCTGACAGCCCATTTGGTTAATGATCTAAAAGGCTTCTCCAAATCGGGCTAATCCCAAGACTAAAGAAAAGAATTTCCTCCTACTGCTTTCTCCTTGAGAAAACGGGATAATGTGCAGTTCTCAAAAGACTTCTTAAAGGACAGATAAAAAGTGTTTGCGCAGGGGATGATCCTTTTAAAAATGAAAACCTCTGGTCCCTGTGGTCTAAACCCATCCTCAGACCAAATACCTTCCCCAGGCAGCTGTTTGGAATTACAGTAATAGTTATCTTTGGTTGACTGACCTGAGGATCTAGGAGCTATGAGCACATTCATTTAAAATTAAAGGGGAAAAAAAAATCCTGAAATCTTTACTGAACTACTGGTTCCAAAGACTTCTTTAACTCAGAATCAAGCTCAATTAAATTTCACATCTAGTTCTATTTCACTTCAACCCTAAACTTATGATTTATTCATTTATTATTTATATCAATAATTATTTTTAGATTCACTATTTTTATTTCCATTTATTGTTTATTTATAGCTCACTCATCATGTAATATTAATCAGGCTGTAACATTGTCTCTGATGGAAAAGTGGACTCCTTTTTCATTTTCCTTTATAAATATTTCAGAGTGGTAGCCCAAAATGCACAATTCCTTCATTTTTATATAAGCTCCTTGATGTGCTAAGTTATGAAGTACTACAAACTCTTTGCTATATGTTCCAAAAGAAGTGCTAGTATAACTTCCCCCAAATTTCTCTGCATTTAAGAAGATACTCATATGTAGAAATGCTATATCACTGATTAAACTGCAGCTAAGAACAGGCCTCCCCAAGAAAGTTAGAGGTCACATGATTACTGTGTTAGAGAACAACACTGAGTCACAGTCAAGTAGAAGAAACTGCCATGCTTATTTAGAAAATTTGGTTTGTATTTATCTTTTTGTTGATTCTGAACCTCGTTTAATAGTATACTCAATGCAAGTATTACATAGTACAACTATAGAGATGGTGAATTTCAGTCACTTCAGGAACAAATTATTATTAAACATTATATTACATTGCATGCCATAATTTTATGAAAATTGTCTGTGCATTGGTGTCTACTCCCAGAACATGAAATTTTTTAACACATGGAATATGTATAATTTTTTAATAAAAGATTCTGTCACTAACAATAGGGTTATATACATGAAAACATAGAATTAGAACCATACAAAGGTTTGTTCTATTCAAAACTACCTAAAAAGAGCCAATCCATCCTTCAATTACAAATATGCTAAGACTCTGTACTAGATCATTCTGTAATAACAATATCAGTGCTCAAACTATACTATAAAGCTACAGTAATAAAAACAGTATGGTACTGG